CTGTCGCGCCGCTAAGCAGCGTTTGTTGTTAAATGTTCCTGTTGCTGTTGCTGTTAGAGCCGAGTCAAGTGTGCTTGCAGTTCTATTATTTGAAAATTCTAAAGTGCTAGAGAAAGAATTTCTGGAATTTTAAGTGGAACGCTAAAAGCGCAGAATGAATATCATTTAAATATCAAAGCGGAAAATAATTTGTGTTGCACAACCAGATTTACATTGGATTATATATACTGCTCTATACTCATATTTATATTGGATATATCCGATTGGCAGCTAGGCAGAGGTAAGTAGTTCAATTCACCATGGGAAACTTTGATATTAAATAGATTCTTTACCCCCTGCTCTCTTCATCTTCTCCGACTTGTTCGTATTTGACTTGCGTAATTGCGCCAATGATTTGTTTAGACCACTTTTTGATTGACCACGCAGCACAGCAATTTGACTCTTTAGCCCGCTTTGTTTCTGTTTCTCTTTTCTCTTTCTCCGTATTGTCTCTCGGTTCCGTTGTGGGGTAAACAAATGGCACAACTATTGTGGTGTGCCTAGGCCAATTCGTGTTGTTGATTTCATTTGAGTGCGAGTCGCAGCCAGTCGATCGTTCAATTATCAAAACCGTTTCTAATGCCCCCTCTGCTACAGCCCATTGGGGCAGTGTAGCGCAGTTGCCCCCATTTACGGCACATGCCACACATTTTATGCTTTATGAGCAGAATGAAAGCAGCTCTTTCCTCTACAGTAGTCGCTGGCGGGGGAGGAACAATCAGAGAATTATTACTAATTAAATTTATGTAAATAAAATTACGCATTAAAACAATACCAATTTACTATAATATATAATATTTAAAATTTGTATTTAACAAAATTAAATATTAATTTACATTTACATTAAAAAAAAGAGCAAATGTTAGTTTATTAATTTGTATGTACAATGTTTTTGTAAACAGAAGACAGAATTTTTGGAATATTTGAGTCTTTTCTAGAATTCGAGAATCCCTGTCGAGCAGCGCTCTCTATACTACATCTAACTAACCGCCTATTGCTTTTGATTTTTTCCCATGAATTTTTCGAGTTCATTTCGTTCTCCAACAGCGCGTGTGTTTATCAACACGTACGTACGTATATAAATTTGTATATACATATATATGTATATATATATATATATATATATCGAAACTATACTACAGATATGAGCATGCAATATTTTCCCGCCGCATAAACAAACATTCTAAATGATCTAGCTGTCCGAAGTAAATGGGTAATATGGCTATTGTGGATATACACACACTCACACACACACACATGCACATGCACACCCACACATACATCTGTCTGTTGGGGCAGCTTCTGTTCCTTGGCTTTGGCTTCTGTTTTGTTGGCTTTGGCGGGCGAATAGCTCAGTTGTTATTGTTGTTTCAGTTGTCTGTAGATCGTTACAGATGAGGAGCTGCTGAACTACATTGTTCAGCACTTACGGGGTATACCAATGCACACTCACTCATTCATTCGTTCTCTCGCTCACTCGCGCTTTCACTCATTCGCTCACCTGAGCCAGTTAATAACCTTCGCATTTCGCACGTATTCGCTTGCAACGAGCCGTGGTGCAGTGCATACTCGTGCCATTTGCTGTTGATATGTGAAAAGTATTTGCTTGTTAGCTGTGAAATATTTGAAATTGATTTAAACTTGAGTAAATTTGCTGGCCAAGCAGGAATTGGCATTCCTTCGCGCCCCTCTCTGGGTTCTCTGTTTGGCTATTTGCTAAATGTTGCCAATCCGATGTGAGTTTATTTTCGTACTGGGCAGGAAATATATTACCTACGAGTCGAGTAGTGAGCGGTACGAAGGTCAAATTCTTTTATTTTCAGAACGGGAAACTCATGTCGGGCTATCCTCTGCAGACGCTGTTTCCCCAGTCGCTATTGAGTGTTTTCTCCCAGTGCAGCACAGACGCGCTGCATGCAACACATGCAACACATGTGGGCTACACTGTAGCTAGGTAAAGGCCCAGAGTGTCCCCTGTTTCCAAATGATGTTCATGTTGCTGTGGATGATGATGATAATGATGCTGATGTTGATGTTGATGCTGATGTGCCCACATGTCAGACTGGGCGCGACAATACGCGACTGCTGCTGCAGCTACGGCGTGTCCCTCCGATACAGAATGACAACAATAGCTCACCAAATGTGCCTGGAAACAATATTTTCCCTTGTCTTGAACGGGTACGCCAAAACCGTTGCGCCGATCCGTTTTAAAAGGGGCACGAGCGACTGCCAGCCAGCGGGAGGGGCGGGGAAGACAACTATAAACATATATTGTATACGCTGTATACTTAGTTCGAGCGCGATTGTTTCTTTTTTTTTTTTTAATATATAACTTTATGAGCTTGGGTTTTACCCTAGAAATACGTCAAAACTACAATTGTTAGAGAAATAGAGCGTGTGAAAAGTGAAAATATTTGAATACCTTCATTTTATTTATAATGCCACTTTTTGTCATTATTTTTAATATTCTTAACGTATTATTATATAAAAATATGACAGGAATAATTGAATTAACAAATAGTTATGTATCATATATGTATGTATATTCCTGCCTCGCCTTCATTCGGTCAATAATGTCGCAATGTACAAAGAAAATCAATAAGAATGCTGTACGTAAGTTAGGGGCCATCCTTTTAGGCCCAAGAAAAATTCTCTCGGATGCCTAGCCACAAGACTCAAGTACAGTGCTCAGTACACTCATTGAGATTGTTTGGTTTAGTGTCAAGTATGTACTTTTGAATGTTCTTCTTTAAGGGAGCATAAGAGTTCTGTGGTCCCAGTCATATGTATATGTACCTTATAAGGTACAGGCTCTGGCTAAATGAAAAGTTTGCTCGTGTCAAAAGCATGCTAGCTTAGTACAGGGTAGCTCTTGGTCGTATTCACGCCTTGACGAATGTTTGTTTTTAATTTCTTTTAATTTTTGTTACCGCTGTGGAACAGATGTGGGCTGCATGAGGCAGCGGCACATTGAAAGCGTCTGTTTCTGTTTTAATTAAGCGAGAGTGAACATCAGAGAAAGATAGAGAGAGAGAGAGACCGGGAGAGTGAGTGGGACGCGCAGAGAGAAGAGAGAGTGAGAAAGAGTGCATCGACACGCATATGTGAAAAATTAAGGCTATCTGCTGAAAGCGAAAAGCGAAAAGGCACAAAAGATGCGGGAAGCAGCGCCGGCAACGCCGGCAGCGACGCCAGCGTCGGCAGCGATCAGCTAACAGAGCGACACTCGTATGCCCGGCGGGATAAATGCGGAATGAATGTACCCTGCGACAGCCACAAACATTGAATGGAATTGAATTGAACAGACCCGAAACAAACACAACAACAACAACTACAACCAAATAATATAACTGTAAAGGCAGAGCCCACTAAATTGAGTCGTTTGTCGCGCAGTCGTAGTCGCAGTCGCAGTCGCCGTCACCGCTGCTGTCGCCTTCGCAGTTGCCCTGAGTAGGACGCGAGCAGTAGTTGTTTATTATACTCATTCACGAAGTGAATTAGTATATTGGTTTTGTGCAATGTCCGT